CCCTTGGTTACATCTTCATGATGCTGTTTTTGGTCAGACAAATGATTTTCTTAGACACTCTAACTTCGCTAATTACAGAAAATCTACACACTGGTGAAAAAAACATGTAATAATATCTGGGTGTTTTCTATTTATTTCCTTCCAGTCAAATTTCTAAACAGCCATCTAGTGGCCATTAGAAACACCACAGCTTTAGCCACTTTTACAGTTCGCCCAGTGTGCAGCCATGCTGGTTGCCACCTGCTATGAATACATGACCTGAAAACTCAGGGATCTCTTTTGTGGCTGTGTCTCTGCCCGCTGCACCAAACAAGAGCCTTTCTCAATTGGGGACAACGGGGAGCACGTTGTGGTGTGTGAGAGCTGATACCAAGCTGTTCAGATATAAATAGGACCTCCCTGCAACAAGGCTTCCACCGGCAGCACTGATAATCCTCAGTGTTGTAATAGCCTCAAACTTTGTGAGTCCTTGTAGAGTCTAATTTTTGTGTTGTGCCTGACAGTGAATGTCATCTTCACATTTTGTTTGTTCTTTGCAGGCAACATTAAATTAAATATACATTTTTGCAGTTTTGATCCTGCGTCAGTTGATCGTTTTTGTTGTTGATGTAAAAAAACAATATCATGTAATTTTTTCATTTTTACATCAAAATCCCTGTCTGCTGTCAAATGATGAGTCATCCTGCACTCAGGGATGTTTTCTAATTTCGCAACCAATGAAAATGTTTGTATTTCAAACCGACTTTTGTATTTCAAATGACCTCAGTCCGAAAACAACGTGATCATGGTCGTCATCTTCCTCATTTCATCCCTGTCCAATTGATTGGGTAAACCTGCAGGTTCAGGCCAAGGTGATGGTGAAAGTCCTCCACAGCCTTGTGATTTACCGGAAACCCGTAAATATGTGATCTGTTTCACAGGGTCTTGTTTTTGTAAGAATTTTGCTCCTGAGCCTTGTTGCTTGGTAGTGTCTGAAGCTGATGCTGGTGTTGCCAGTTTTTTTTGCCTTTGTTTCCCAATATTCCACAGTCACCATGAGTTTGGATCTGAGTGTTGATCTGCCCTTCACCCTCAACAAGAGTAAGGATATGGTGTCCAGACAGTTTGTCGTAATGACATAACCATTGCATCATACCTCCATCCCATCCAATGTTGGGTTACGATAAGAATTGACTCTGTGAGCTGACAGAAGTCATGAGGTCACTCAAGCTCGCCAATTAATTCAGGTGTCTTTTTCACGCATCCTGTTTCCTTCCTGCTTGAATAAAAACTTATTTGAGGGATTTCGTGGTGTTGGGAGAAACATAGTGATGAGGAAAGGTAATAAGGTAAGGGCTGTTCTACTTATTTAAATTCATTTCTTGACTAAAACTGTGTAAAATGCTACGTTCCCAGGGCCCAGTTTGTCATCTTTATATACATTTTTTTGAGCTGTTTTGTGATATTTATGCTTGAAAAATTACTTTAACAACTATCAATTATCAGAATAGTTTGACTAATTGTTGCATATCGCTATTGTTAGACCTTACATTAAACGTCGGTGGTTTAAACTGGGAGACTGTGCTATATTTCACTCAATGTCCGTTAACAAGCTGCAGACTATTTTTTCTCGCACCTGTCTGACATGTGCATCTGCTTAATAAAGGCCAATGACTGATGTCTGTTGCTGACTGCTATTTTAAACAGCAACGGTTGAGCTGCAGCATGAATAACTTTATAGTCATAGGTGAGACATACGAACAGCAGCTTTTATTTGGTTTGACTCTGTGAATGTGTGTGTGTGTGCCACAGTGAAGAATGTAGGCTTTGTCAAGGAATGAGGAGGAGGAGGGAGTGATGACTAAATGAGGAAGAGAGGAGGGAAGGCAGGAACTTTGAGTCTTTTGTTCAGGACTGTTCACCATTTTTTTCTGTCATCCTCTGATGAATGCTGTCTTAACAAAATGATAACACAATAACAAAGCAAAAAGTAGAGGTTGGAGATTCTGGATAGAGAAGGGAAACCCCAAACTGAATAAGCCTTTTTATTTCTTCTTACAACTTGAATGTGGCCTTAATGGTGTGTAAGTGTGCATCCAACCCCATCTGGAGATCCACATACCAGGACAGACAGGATGAAAAGAGAAAGAGGCAAAACCATGGGAACAAAGACGGCCAAGCCCCCAGAGGGAAACATCAAGAGGAAGTGTGTGTGTGTGTGTGTGTGTGTGTGTGTGTGTGTGTGTGTGTGTGTGTTCTGTAGTCAGTGCTGAGTCATCGCTGGGCTGGCCAGGCAGATAGAAACAGGCTTCTGAGGGGGCCAGCTGCAGGGGCATAAGGGGGCACGCACTGAGCATGCTCCTCGAAGTACAGGAAGGGAATTGGTTGTTGTGACAGGACACATCCAGGAACTTTGGTGACGCAATATTTCACGATGCCAAGTTTTCGCTCCATCTCTGACGTACGCCTCCCCTGGTATGTTTGATGATACGAATACAAAAATTAAAACGACGGCCTGTGGCGTGACACAAGCTCAAGAATTCACATCTTTTCTTCTCCCAACGTGGTCATTTAGGACGCAGAGAGGGAGAGAGATGATGTTGGCCGAGCAATAACGAGACATGTTGCTCCATGTTTGGGCCGACCAAAGCGCCCCCACTACTATTTCTTGTGGTTTTCTGTGATCTGTTGGACCACAGTCTGTGACTCCCCCCACATCAACCCACAAACCCCGTATGCAGACACACATGCACATACGCACATGCTCATACTTCCTTTATTTAGAGTAGACCCATCTCCGCAGCACTGGAGGAAGATGGTATGTACTGCAGGCGCATGTTATAGTTTGAGAATGATAAACCAATGTTAATACGACTGCAGCTGAAGTCTGAATGTTTTTAACTGTCATTCAGCCACTCATGTCTACAACAGTGTATATAAATAGGCTGTGGTTGCTATATAATGCATGTTGGTATCTTGAAAAACATCTCTGGGTTCTCATTACCTGTGTGTTCTTCTTTTCTTGTAAAACGTGACCTTTATCATCAACAAAATCTATCATGCTACAGTTTATGATCAGAAAAAGTTATTGCGTATCCCAAAATCTATGGAGAGGCACATATAAAATGATTGTTTTGCGACTCAGCTGAAGGAGACAGTTGCAGCTCTGCAGCTAATGATACAACACTGTCTCATCCGTAGGCTTTCTTGCATCAGCAAGAGGCGTGTGTTTCTTTACAAATGTTTCTTTCCTTCTAATCTATAGCTGTGGGTTGACCACACTTGTAGGTCAAAAGTATGTATATACATCAGGGGATGACAAAAGGGCACATGTGAACACATTAAATGTGGTTTAGTTCTTATTTAATATGTGGCCAAGCATCCTGTTTCCTCTTAAATGTTGAAACTATGTGGTTGACTCTTCAAACCAAACTCATTTCTGTTTAATTACAAAAGTAGCCAGAAGCTAACCAAGGTGTTAGAGCACAAGGGTAATGTGGTGCTTCAACACGACTGATGATGACATATTGTTATGGCCAGTGAATACAAGTATGAAAAGCCTACTGAGATGAAACTAACCAGAATGTTCAGAATCAGTAATGTTACAACAAAGGTGAAAAAGATACAGGAATGAGAAATAGAATTGGACTCTGTAAAGCGCATACCTCCACCAAGTCCCCTTAAATGCCATCCCCTTTAAACCAAAATGACTCAAAAAACATTCCCCTTAAACAACCTGTCCAATTTTACCAGCCCCTAATCCTCTATGACAGAGAGTGCTCTGTGTGCAGATAGAGACTTTATGTGTGCAAGTGAACACTCTATAGTTAAAGCTGATGGCTACATCATGGGATCAGCAGTTTATATTAAAAGTTGAAACTGAGCACTCTTTGTCTCTCCCTCTCTCTCCCACACAAACTCACTGTGACCGTCTGTCATAGTCAGATTGACCATCGGCAGCAACAGGAGAAATCTGACCCATGTTTGTGGCTGGTCATAGGTGGCCATGCATAAAGATTGTACCATCTTCAGCAGGCAGGTATGATTAGGCATCCTTGGATACAGTTTTCTCTGTGCAGGGTCTTGCAACAAACATACAGCTCTCTCCTGCAGGGGTCGTCCCCCATTCCCCCAACCGATCAGCTCCAAGAGCTAATCATCAAGACCATTGGGACCATTCTCCTTGGAAAAGGAGGATCCAAGGGTCCATGTGATGGTGTTGACATAAGTTAAACTTCTCTTTTCGCTGAATTAAAAAAAAAAGCAGAAGAAACAGGTCACATGTAAACACACAGATGGCCGAGCAGACAGTGCGGTTGATTGAGAAGTTTTTCGAATGTACTTCCTCATTCACTGAGTCGGTCTGAATGACTTTATTACTGTTTTCATTCATTTCAACTAGTTTAGTCAATATCGGTGCAATTTGGAAGTGACTCAGTCATCTTTATTGACTCGGCATCACCTCACTCTGCTCATTTTCTCCTCACATTAGATTCATCTCAACAGATTTCCTAGATTGTCCCTCATATATATGCACTCAGTGTTTTTGCTGTTGACTTATTGTTCTCCTAAATTGGTTAACCATTGTCCTTTGAGTGAACTATAACCATCCTTATCTATTAAGATATCCTTTGACTGGTTGATTGCCAGAGATTCTTTGTTGGCCCATGTAATCCAATTTGGGCTGTTTAAGATTGATTGCAGATACAAACAGAGCTTTGGCCGTTCTATCTTGATGTTTAAACCATTTCAAACTTTTAAATAGTTCAAAGAAATGCTGTCTGTTATTCCAGTTCCATCTTTAGTCCTCCAGTTCTTGCTCAACACTCCACATTATCTTGATTTGCCTCTAATTACATTTTCATATCTCTCCTCTGTTTGTCCCCCAATCATCTTATATTTCTCCCTTCTAAACCATCCATCCTTCCAACCTTGTCTTCAAATCAACTCCTTTACCCCACCTCCTCTCCAACCATCCACTTCTCTTTTTTCCCTATCTCTTCTCATTCTTTGTCTCACAGCAGTGATTCTCAGCTGGTCTGGTTACTGCAATGAATGGTAACACTATCCATCCAGCCAACACCACCACAACAGCCGGAGGAGGCCCTGGCGTGGCAGCGCCCCCGAGAGGCTGGAGCGAGTTCTGCGAGCTGCACGCCATCGCCACAGCCCGGCAGCTGGCTGGACACTACCGGAGCTTCGCCAGAGAGTGGCCACAGCATGACGTGCTCTCACCAGAGACTTTTTCCAAGCAGTTTACCGACCTCTTCCAGAAGCACTTCTGCTGCGAGGTTGACAAAGATGGCACTCTGCTCATACAGAACAGATGCTCTACCTCTATTGGCAATGCTCCTTCCACATCTCCAGCGACCCGTCCCCTTCCATCACAGCCGGTGACTGGTCGATCGCGGATCACATCTTTGTCAGGAGTGCAGGACTATCGGGAGGCGGGCCGTCAAAGTGGAGGCGCTGCTCTTTTTGCTTTGGTGCCACCTAAAGTGGAGCCGGTGGTGTTGAGCCGGGAACAGGAGCAGCCGCTGCAATGTTCTGCGGGAAACTCCTTGTCGGGAAACCCGGTGGTGCTCAGAGGGTCGACTCGTAGTGTCGGCGGAGGGTCACTGCTGATGCATAGCCATGGCAATGAGGAGATCTCTGGCACCAATCGTCAGCGGCTATCTGACTCCTCAGCCTCCAACCCTGGACACGCTGACGTCACACACTTCTCTGTCAGTCAGATCCAGCAGACCGTAAGAAGGCTTTTTAAGAAGCGGCCCCTACCTAGCCCCCCCCCAACCCAGGACCTGTCCTCCAGCAACCCCACCCCCACCACCACCAACAACAATACTCCAAATAATAGTAACAGAGTGGGTGGGATTTACTCCACAAATGAGGAAGTGTCATCCTCCTCCTCTTCATCCCACTCTTCCTCTTGTCTGATCTCTGAAGCCAACCCCCCAGGTGCTTCACATTGGTCTGTGGCCGGAGTAGCCTCTCACATCCTGGATCGTTTACGTCGGTTACACAGTAGAAGCATGAGGCAGAGGAGGTCAGAGGTGAGCGGCAGCTGTAAAGAGGGCCAACTGAGGTACTTATTGGTGGATGACACTATCTCAGACTCTCAGCCCTGCTGGCAACGCTGCCGTCTGCTGGTCAGGAGGATCAGAGATGCTCAAGGAGGAGCAGGAGGAAGAGGAGGAGGGGAGAAGTACCAGTTGGAGCTCTATGATCCTCCAAAGGTAGATACAACAAGCTCATATACACATTTATACTTTTTTTTTACACTCTGACAATCCAGCATATTTATTTAAATTTAGGCTTCGACGGATAAATGATTGAGTCATAGTTACAGCTGACACTCTAAACAAAATAACACAGATATAAAGAGGTTCACATGGGTGCATCTCTTTTTTTTGTCTTTCTATTAAATGGTGAGATACGTTATAACCGTTGGTGGAGGTGTGCACTCTCCAATCCTTTGTTCTATTGCATGAAGAAACACAACAGATACTGTGATGATATTTAGCTTTTCCTCAGAAAACGTTTTATTTATTTCTCATCACATCTTTACTTCCAGTGATTGATTTGCATTTTTTTCTCTGATAACCTTCAATGATTATGTAAGTAATAGTTTTCCCTTTTACGCGGATAAAGACGTTTCTGGAAATAGTTCTTGTTCATATTAGTGAAGTTGTATTTAATCTGAGTCTGTCACATTGCTTTATAATACAGTTATTTTCATGCATTACTAAAGGTAATGCATTAGCTCTGCTTCTGTCCAGGGTAGTATTTTTGAATTACCTCAAAGAATCAGCAGCAGTAGTCTCTGCTTTTACTCTTTGATGATGGAAATATGCCTCCTACACTACTTCCTGTTTGTTTAGGGTTTGCTTCAGCCAGTCATAACATTTCTACTTACTACTTTATAATTGAAGCATCAGCTGAACAGCCAGAAGATAAGAAACTGTCACATTTAAAATCTATATTTATTTGAGCAACTTTCCTTTTTAAGTTAGGAGTAAGAAAGACCTGTTTGCTTTCCCCTGACTTTGCTTGACAGCTCATCACATCAAGGCAGGATGTCTTATTTTTTTCAATTATGCTCGACTCCTTACATGCGAAATCATGACATAAAAGCCTGCAATATATCCAGATGGGGCCAGCTGCACATGTGCATGCACGCCCAGTCCCCCAAGATCCCCAAACTAGGAATCAGAGTGGCTCAGTGACTGTTGTCTAGCCGAGGGGCTGACGAGCCTTCGCCATCTTTAAGGTCATTTGAAGCAGAGTTCAGTCTCTTCAGGGTGTGTGTTCTAGCACAAACAGAGGTCAATGAAAATAAAGCTGCATGCATGTGTGTATCTAAGTCTGTTTTCTTGCAGTGTTTTAAATTTAGCAGCCCTCAACTATTCAGCCAGCTGCAGGCCTAACCATGTGTGTGTGAGGTAATTCAGTTGATGATAGAGCCAGAATCATGCGTTTGTGTGTGTGTGTGTGTGTGTGTTGTTCAGAATGGGAAGGCATTGGCAGGATCTGGCTGGCTGACTGCAGTGCTGCTTAAGTTAAGCCAACTGTATTGCTGCTCTTAAGTGCTCTCTCTCTGTGTGTGTGTGTTTGTGTGTGTGTGTGTGTGTGTGTGTGTGTGTGTGTGTGTGTGTGTATGTGTGTGTGTGTGTGTGTTTGTGTGTGTGTGTGTGTGTATAACATCTTGGCAGGGCAGAGTTAAGGCCCTGAGAATGGCCTTAAAAGGAAGAAGAGCTGTGGAGCAGCATGCACACATTGTAACATACACAAGATAAAGCACATGCATTCAACAGAAGTACTTTTAACAAACAAACTAAGAACATGTTGTGAGTCACAGTGTTACATATTGTGTTATTGAATAGTTTCTATATTGTGGATATAAATCAGGCTTACACACATCTGTTGGTTTTTTATTTAACTCTTTGTGCGTCAGTATGTGAGTCTGCATATCTCCACACTGCACAGCTACAGTTCTTTTATATATTTTTTTATATTCTTCAGTGTGTCAATGAGATCATTTAGCACGAGCAACAGAGGAAGCTACATGCAAACCGATAATGTATTTGTGTGAGAGAGCTGTAGTCAGAGCGCAGTCACTAGTAATATTAGTCAGATTTTATATAACATGTCGCATTATTATTATAATATTAATTTTTATCATGCCAAGTTTAATTAAACATGGTTGTATCTGTTAAAGATGTAGTTCCTCCTCTGGGTAAGCCTCTTTAAATGTCTGTATAGTTACAACTGAGGGCAGTTTCACTTCTGTATAACCTGAAGTGTTAGGCCAAAACATTTAAGCTCTAGCTACTGTATATATTCTATAGGGAGGGGTGCGAAGATGAAATAAGACTCAGGAAGTTAAAGTGAGTGTTCTGCAATTTATTACATGCACATACACACAGTTTGCAACATTTTACAACTCTGTTAAGTTATCAATTAAAGTTTTTCATTGAAGTTGCAAGAAAAGTAGCATTGTTACAATATTAAAGTTTACAAAGTTTTTGCCCGTTGATGTTCGATGATGTCAAGTTGAGGTATTTGATGCCCTGCTGCACTCAGCTTTGTCCTGCTCCAAGAAAACTTGGAGAAGTGAAAGAAGGTCACCTTAAGAATGCTCCAGATATTCATGTTGTGTACAGAGATTAAATTGTGTACGTTTTTGATTGGAGAAAAATATGTTGTTGTGCAGATTAAGTGGCAAAATAACAGATCCGATGATTGTAACGATTGTTTTATTGCAGAAGTGAATCTTGACTTGTCAGCTGAAACGAGCAGAAGTCTCCACAATGTCCTCAGTGTTGTCTAAGACTTGGTCTTTATCTCGTCTCCGTCTTTAACTTTGGCCTTGAGAGCCTCGATGAGGACAAACTGACACTATGACCCATAAACAATTCACAGTCCTGACGTCGGTACCGATATATTGCTTTTTTACAATATCTGTGCAGTCTTGGAGTGATACTGTCGCCTTACTCAGCTGTGACTTTCCCTCACCTCAGTTAGTTGTTCCTTCCACAGCGAGCTCTACTTCTTCTTTCATCTGACAGTGCAGTAGTCAAGGTTACAGACAAGGTTAGCGTCCTGCCAGGAAAATCGTGGTATTCTGTCTTCCAGAGTCAGTTCCCACAGACTGCTGCATTCTGACAGCGGATACGTTTCCTCATACCTCCTGTGGACTTCATCTTAATCACAGCCCTCTTAACTCATCTCATCATTGTGTGTGTGTGTGTGTGTTTGTGTGTGTGTGTGTGTGTGTGTGTTTGTTCCATCTTTTCAGGCCCTAATCTTTCCCACATGGTTTCATTTCATGCTGGTGTCTACATGTGCCTACACTATGTATCATGTTGCTCATGGAGTTTGTCGTTCCAAGTCTCTGTGTGTTTGTCTGTTCACTTTCACACAAGTTTTTATGTACGTTGGCAAATACGGTAAAAGCTTGTCTTTGCATTTTCGTCTATGTCATTTGACACCGTCTGTTGAACCTTCAGTCAAAAGAAAATAGTATTTACAGTAATAGCCTGTCCTCAAATGCAATTATGCTTGTATTAAACCAATAAAATTATTTCAATTTTAAAGTGAAAATACATTTAAATGTACACCCTTAAACATTTTTTTATTTACATTTGGTCTTACACGTCCTTCATTCTGCTTCTGTGTTTTTCCCTCACACACACTCTGCTTCTTCACTCTCTCACTGACAGTAAAAGCGGAGTTTGCAACATCAGTGGAAAATACTTTTCCAACGACCAGACTCTTATGTCCATCTGTTCTGTGTTACTTGTTGTACCTCAGTTTCTCATATGGCAACACGCAGCGTTAATTTGGCTCTCGTCACATACCGCTACTAAATCTCTGAACACATGGACTGCAAGTCAGCTGAACTAGGAACGGAGGAGAGCCAATCAAGAGAGGCACGAGGAAACTCAGTGACAGCATGAGTAGTGTGAAATGATGATGAGGTAGACGAGCCAGCAAAGAGGAGAACAGACAGAGGGAGATCAATGTGTGTCTGTATTATTGTTTGAACTCAAGGTTTGCAGATTTCACAATATGAGAGACATTTTTCCTCCGAGGTTTCCAGGATGTGTGTTATAAAACAGTTTTTAACCCTTCAGGTTTTTATTTGGGATCTTAGTTTTAAGATGAGACAGTCCAATTTAATTTATGCCCATTTGAATCCAGGCACATTTTAAAATATCTGCATCTGTGGTTAACACAGTGATCAAGGTGAAAGGATTTCAATTTGAACGAATCGAAGTGAATCTTTACAGAAACAATATTCCAGTTCTGTAGTGAAAATATGCAGACATCAGTGTGCACAGTTTTCACTGGAAATATTTTTTGGTGATCAAATAGATTTTTCACTATTATTTGACATGTAATAGACCAAATGACTGTGATAATTTGCTGCCCTAATTAATTTGAAGTGACATCTGCTGCTTCCTGCTTTGTTTTGGTTTGAATCAAATGTGATATTTTGGTTTAATAATCTTGTGTTTAGTCATGCAGGCCAGGATCCTCCAGAAGTAGCCATACGTTTTTAAGATTCTGCGGAAATTGCATATCAGCCTCTGCTGGTATGAGTATTCAGAGGAAAGACTATCTCTACAGAGAAAAAGACTATAGTTTCATTTCACGTCATAACAGTCCTTGTATCTCACCCACAGAGGCAAATTATTTGCTCTTTTCAGGGATTTAGTTTCATGAAACCTAGAAATTATGCCTTGAAGTGACTGAGTGAGTCATGAAATGGATGTGTGCGTGGGTTTACATGCATGCTTGTGTATTCATAAGATGAATGTGTTCACCACATGTGTAAAATCATGTCACAAATCCATTTGTTTATAGTCATGTTGTAAAATTTGATAAATGGAAAAGCCGTGAGAGTAGATTCTCTTGTTGATCTCTTGTGGTTCATTAAACAGAATTACTGCTGATTTTGGCTTTTTGGTTTCTCTCTGATGACCTGTGTGAACTTGCCTTTGCTTTTTAAATTTCACGTCACCAGATCTGTATCTTGTACAAGCCACAGAAAGCTGAGAGAGGTTTGGTAGGAAAACCAGGTTCTCAAAAGTTGTACAACTGTTGCATAATCAATAGGTCGGTTAAGGGATTAGGCAGATGAGTGGCAGCAACCATTTAATGAAATATTGAAAAATACTCATCATAATTTCAGAGAACCAAACATATTTTTGGTTTATTTTGTCTGTGAAAA